ATGTTTTTTATCTATCTTTTTTAAAAAAATTATTATATATTATTATATCATGGATTGATCCATTTGACCTAAAAGGTTGAACCATTGATCTAGCACTTGAATATGAATAAAAATGCTTTTATTTAGCATGTTTATTATTGTTTGATATGATAAATAGATAATATTAGAGATGTGTTTAAATTTTTTACATATTTTTATAATTTTGTAATATTTATATTTATATTCATTTTTAAATTTTTATTATTTAACTATGAGAACATTGGTTAACTCATTTGACACATATAGTTGAACTATTCACTTGCCATTCAAACAAAAGGGTGGTTTGTTTAATTATTTTACATGTTGGTTTTGAACATTGATTTTACATTATTAAAAATATTGAATATAGATTTAATTTGTAGAATTTATTGGTAAAAAACAAAAAGTACTTCAAATAAAGTATTTAAGAAGAGAGAATGAGAGTTAATACCTTATTGAGAGGGAATTTAATGAAGTGGAAATTAATAGTACTTCAAATTATATTTTTTACCCACATAATAAAGGGAGACCAAATTTAAAAAATAAGGGTGTTTTAATAAAAAAAAATCCAAAATCTACACCTCATTCACACTTTTAATAGTAGTATCGACTAAAAAAGCTTTAAGTTCAATATTGAAGTACATGATGAATATGTTCTTAAAAGTTCATTGTCTACCAACAACATTCAAGAACCAACACGAATACATCATTTCGCATTACACAAAATTCTTCTATATAAGAACGCTTCTATATAAAAAATAAAACAAAATAATGTAAGTCAAAAAATAAACAAAACTAAGTCAAAGTGACATGTGACAATTATTATTTCAAGAACTCTTTTTAATATGTATATTATTTCTTATAAAATATATAAGATGTATTACATATATGGGCTCAAGTATCAAGTACCCTACGGTCAAGATCCAAACCCTATATATATGAATTTATATATGGTTTTGGTAAATAGGTCATATGCTTGAAATTTCATGATTGTGGTCCCTATTTTTCTATTTGAATTACAAAACAAAAAAAAGAAAAAAAAACAAATTAGGCCTTTCTTTTGCCAACTAATGGGTGAACCATTGAGTTGATACATAACATGCAAGCTAGTATTAGGGGAATAAGTGGAACCTTTTTGAACAACCTGCCACTTGTGATACTTTTAAGTTTATTTGATTAGTCAAACTTTTTATAGTATTTTACCCTTCCAACATCATAGAAATTGTCTAAAAACCAAGCATCAAAGTATTGGTACCAAATAGCTTAGATATAAATACAAATACACATTGGAAACACATGGATGAGAACGAAAGATATGGAAACATTTGGATATGCTAGAAAAATGCATACAAATCACATAAATATAAAGCTGAATTATCTATGAATAAGGTATAAGTGTATAACAAATGCACACTTTAATAGGTTATATAAAGAAAAACTTTAAAATCAACAATACCATGTACTCTAGAACATGCATATACACATCATACAATAATTACACTCTATTTCAATTTTTATTAATTTTTTAGAAAATTTTATCTATTTAGAATTTTATATAAATAATAATTCTATTTTTCAATAACGAATATTTTCATTTTTAGCATATAATTTTTTATTTTACTTATAAAACATTTGAATCATATAATTGTAAAATATTTTACAATTGTTTATTTTAGTTTTGTATAAGTATAACTTTATTTCAGTTTTTAGAATTATTTATTTCATTTGTATTAATTTTGTTGGGAAATTTTATTTATTTATTTAGTATTTTTATATAAATAATAACTCTATTTTTCCAATAATAAATATGTTTTCACTTTTAACACATAATTTATATCTAAAATAAAACATTTAAATCATTTAAGGTAGATAAAATAAATAATTTTTATAATTTTCAGTTTTTATTAAATTTTTTGAGAAAATTAAATCTTAAATTATTTGTTTCAGTTCTTATAATTATAATTTTCAACTTTTATTAAAGTTCATAAACAATCAATATACGGTTTCATCAAACTAGGCACTAATATGCTTATCTATCGATGCATATTGGACCATATCCACCAATACATCGTAATATAGCCCAATAAGAGGTGTATAATTCTAAAATGCATGACTCATGGGATATCTTGTATCCATGGCTATGAATACGAAAATGATATGCCCTGCATCGAGAGTATTGTATCAATACTTTTAACCTTGTTAGAAACTAAACAACCAACATAAATAAAGAAATTCTTAGATCTCTTCAAAATTTTCATTGAAACATCAACAGCCAAACATGGTCTGGAATGTTTTGATTGGTTAATCCCTTAGGCATTTTGGCAATCAAATTCTATATATGTATGAATCCAAATGTTCCTAGAGATGTTCTGTTACATGATGCTTAACAAATACCATGTTTTGTTGCTTTAAAGTTTTGACCTATGTTTTTAATCAATGTTTTAAAAAAAGACCCGAAGACGGAACCATTCTGGCCACCGGTTTCCGAGGCAACGGTTCGACAGTCAAAAACTGTTGAACGGGTCAATGATTCGATCGCCTAAATCAACGGATTGTTGACTTTTTCAACGATTTTTTATCAAAATGGGTTTGGGTTAAAATGGAACCAGTTGCCTGAATGGTTCCTGGGCTGAATGGTCCGACTGTCCGGGTCAACAGTAGTTCGAAAACCTTGTTTTTAATTAAAACCAACCAAAAAATAGATTTACTTTAGCAATCGATCTGTAATATAATATATTAATCAAATCTTATTAGATAAAAATATTGATCTGTAATATAATATATTACTTTAGCAATAGATTTACTTTAGCAATCGATCTGTGGATGGTAGTGGTGCTTTAGCAATTCAATTACAATATAAAAATATCTAAAAAAGAAAAAAATGAAAATTCTATAAAAGAAATATATCTTGTCTGTAATATAATATATTAATCAAACCATATTAGATAAAAAAATGTGATAAATGAGAATATTATTAACTAAAAATACAAAGAAAGAATAGAATAGCAGACAAAGAAGAGAAGATCAGATGTCTACTCATGACCTGTTACTTGTTTCAAACAGTTCAGGTTTTCAATCGATCTGCATGCCACCAGGTGGTTGACCAGATCAACGGTTCTTACTTGCAGTGTGGGATGAAATCTAGCTGGGTGGCATTGACCAGTTTGACAGGTCAGTTTTAACTGTAGATTGAATACATTGGATTCAACTGGGGATGTCTCTATCCAATCTCTTACAAATTGTCTCCATTTTAATATACCAGGCAATAAGATATGACCCATAATAAGAATGCATCTTTGAATGATCATCTTTCTCCTGAATTGAGTAGGGTAGGTGCTATATTCTATTAAAGTTGACATCACCTTTTACAGTAAAGTAGCGCTCCTGCATGCATCTTAGTGAGTTTTTAAGTTTTTTAAATGTTGTGATCAGATTGTCAAATAAGGATGGAGAAAAATGAGATTGTACTCCAAACATATTAACATTGGGGGAGAAAGAAGAGGAAGAAGTAAGATAGGGGAAAGTTGAAATGCTTAGCTGTTTTCCAGCCCAATAAATAAACAAGTAATTAGCAGAAGATGAGAATTAATGAGGGGAAGTGGTGTTGCAGATGGTTTCAAAATTCTGAGTTTGACTAACATGCTTAGATCACATCTATCTGTAAATCCAAATTAATTTAGTGAATCTGAACTTTTGATTAGTGCTTTAAGACACCAAGCCTAGTCATAGTTCGCTTTCTGTCAGTGATTTTCCTTATCTAAAATCCTAGCTAGGAGGGATAATGGATTAGGGTTTAGCCTTTTAGGGTCTATAAAGTTTTTGGGTTGTAGTTTTCATACTATTTTATACAAGTAGCCCATCTTTTTATAACTAGGAGAACTAGGGTTCAAAGCCATAGCAATAGAGAAAATTATAGCAACACCCAGCTTTATTCGTCCAATTCAATTAAATGTGGTTGTGAGCTCTAATTCTATATACTTGTCCATCCATGGTGTTGCTTTTATTCTCAAACTAAAGCAGTGGCCAGTGGGTGATGGGTCAACCCTAGAAAGACTAAAATCAACAGCCCTAATTAATGGAATCATGTCAAGTTTCCGTATGATAGGGTTCAAAGAGAATCCTGTAAAGTGGATTCCAATTCGATGGTACAAGGCATAGCTTATGATGCAAGCACCCTTATTGAATTATTACCCTTGCAATCCTGGTCTTCTAAAGGCAAATCTACTATAATCTGAGTAAATGATTAGCATTGGATACCCAAAAAGAGACTGGTTTAGAAAACTCTTAAGTGGGTATTGTCAATAACAGTATTTTCAAAACCGGAAACTGGTCATTCCGTTTCACCCCAAAATTAATTGTTGATTTGGTCAGTAAACCGCTGATTCAGATGATCAAACCGTCAATCTGGATAATAATTTTTGGTCATGTTTGGTTATTTTTTTCATTTTTTTGTTAGAATGGGTCATCTGTTCGGATTGGATGATTGAACCATTTAACTCGATAACTGATTCCGAAAATGGTTTCTTGTCTGGTCTGTTTATAAAAACCTTGGTCAATAATCACACAAACCATGGAGATGGATCTGTTCAGAAAAAACCGTACTAACATCACACTGACAGCACACCATCCAGTCACATATCGAGAACATCTTATGTGCTTGTATTTAATATTCATGTATGAGAAGATATTCCCAACGTGTGATTGGATACCTTATTCTAGATTAACGTATTAGGAAGCTTTTTGCTGACAGCAGATCCGATCACTATAAAGATAAGGTTAGTTGGAATATTATATATGTCCCCCTTTTTTAATTTATAGAGGATTAAGGTGGCCATGCATGGGATGGAATCTTATGCGTAAACTATGGTTCAGGCTTTTTCTCCCACTTTCGTCACTCTTTTTTTTTATTGTTTTGTTAATTTTAACTTGATGTACATCAAAATATATAAAATTTTGGCCTTTAAAGCTAGAGGAGACTGGCTCATATTTCTCTCACCACAGAAAGTAAGCATGGGGGAAGAAGAAGAAGAGGGTGAAGAGGTGAAGGAAATGAATGTAGGTCTAAAGGACCTCTCAAGAAAGCTCGAAGAGTTTGCCAAGGAAAGAGACTGGGAACAATACCATAGTCCTAGAAATCTTCTTCTTGCATTGGTAATTTTGTGATCTCTTTGTTTTCCATCTAGTTCAGAGGACTGGGAATAATACCTCTCTCTCTCTCTCTCTCTGATTTTGAATCCATTAATGTCTTATTCTTTCATGTTCTCTCAATTGATTGCCCTCTCACCTATTACTCTCTCTCTCTCTCTCTAGGATTTTGAATCCATTCATCTCTTGTTCTTTTATGCTCTCTCAATTGATTGCCCCTTATTTTTTTGTTCACCTATTACTCTCTTTCTCTCTAGATCTCTCTCTCAATGGTATTTTCCTTTTGATGATTATCTTATGTGAAAAATATCTTAGTATTAAAACCATGCAACATCATCGTGTCCATGTCTAAAAAGAAAAATATATGAAGTGACAAAACAAATTAACTATAATTTTGTTAGGTATGATATCAATTACTTGATCTTTTGCATGCCTTAATGTTTTATCTTCACCATTATTTTTTTCTTGGTGACAAGGTTAGCATAAATATTAATATTACTATTTATATTATTGCTTGTGTTGGGGCTAAAGGAGAAATTGGTTTTCACTAACATGTTATGTATGTTTTCATCACTTGATCAAACTATCTATCTGTTTCCAATGCTCCCTTTCCCATGTGATTTCTGCATCCCCTCTCCTAACAAAACAGACCAAAAATTCAAGCTTGTGAGTTGTGAAAAGGGGTGGCTTCCACTGCTTTGGAATGTGGAGTGGGGTACATGTCAAAGGCTCAAAGCTGAAGTTTGCTTATAAACCTTCTATTTTTCTTTGAAAAAAACTTAAGGAAATAACTAAGGTTGAATTATTTATATGTAAACTGCTACCACTGCTACTACTACTACTATTACTGTTATCTAACTAGGCCACAGTTTATTCTCTATCATATGGCCGTCTCATCTCATCCATTTCAAATTGTTGGACAGTGTGGCTAAAACAGAGAGTCCATCAGATTCATGGACTGTCGGTATTCTCAGTTTCTCTACTCTAAATATAGATTAACAAGCAACGATAACAGCACAAGCCTTGTTCTTCACCAATGACTTAATCACAAACCCTCAGCATGAATTTTTTGAAATACAGGTTTTATATGTTATCTCTTGTCTTTTTTTTTCTGATATAGGGGATGTTCACCGATTAATATGTATGATTTGGCCCAAATATGGTGAGATCATATTGACACCCCACAAGCAACCCACAACACCTCCCATCCGTGTATTGGGAATATCTCCCCGTGACAAGTAGGGAAATGTTCCCAATGCACACTGAAATGTGCATGTGGGGGGCGCTTGTGGGGCACCCTCTGTGCGTGCTAATCTGATCTCAGATATAGAGCAGTCAAGGCATGTACAATGGGCTATATAAGCCAACCATGAGTAAATACGTCAGCAACGTAGCCTGTTGTACATGCCTTGTTGTCACAAGTTGCATATGATTTTGTTTTTCAAAACAAAAGCAACTGACACATCAGCAATCCCTGTTAACTTTCATTAATGCAGCAGCTGAGACTGTTTGGGTATTGTTTCATCTTCTAGATTAATAGAAAACCAGAAATGGTTGGGGAGTTGATATGGTGATTATCAGTATGAAGTTATTTTCCTTTTTATTTTATTTCATTTGGAGAATAATGACTTTTGATATCAGTATCATAATTTGTCTTATATCCATTTTCTCTAGCATTGTTGGATAATGTTTGTCATTTGATGCATAGGTTGGTGAAGTAGGGGAGCTTTCAGAAATATTCCAATGGAGGGGTGAGGTGCCTAAGGGCTTACCAAATTGGGAGGAATCAGATAAGGAACATTTGGGGGAAGAATTATCTGATGTACTGTTATACCTTATCAGGCTTGCTGATATATGCGGCATTGATCTTGGAGATGCTGTCACTAAAAAGCTTGTCAAGAATGCAATCAAGTACCCACCCAAGCTCCTTTAGATAATAATGGACCAATGTTGGTGTTATTATCTTCTATTTTTTCTTTAAGTTGGTGAGTGCTTGTATTGTGAGAACATTTTGTAATAAACTTGTCATTCAGAAGTTCATCGGAAACAATCAAAGTATTTTGAGTTAACAGTGGTCTTCTTCATTCATGCAAGCATAACTAATTAAGAATTGATGTTGGCACTGCTCGGAAAAAAAAAAAAAGGCTCCTACTTGATCGTAGGTATATATTTTCGCTCTTTCATGCTAGATGATAAGGTCATATCTCCTTTTCTCAAAAAGCAAAAGTACCCATGACCATGGTATAAATGAAATAAATCTCACTTTCTTTCTAAGTTTGTTATATATGCACTAGGATGTCAAATTGTCAATGGGTCGAGTTTGGTATGGGCTTGTTTAAATCTGAACCTGATCTATCCAAAGTAACACCAATCATGGTTTCCGAACTGCTGTTGACTTGGATGGTCGGATCGTTTGGCCCGGGAATCGTTCAGGCAACTGGTTCCATTTTACCCCAAACTTGGTCCCTAGTCAAAAACCGTTGAAAAAGTCAATGACCCATTGACTCGGGAGGTCGAACCGTCGACCCGTTCAACAGTTTTTAGTCGTTTATATTTTTAATTTTTTGTCAAAATGGATCATCCATTCGAACTGGATGGTCGAACCATCGACCCAGAAACCGATGGCTAGAACTATTCCGTTTTCGAGTCATTTTTTTAAACTATGACACCAACACAAACCTGACCTGACCTGATGAAGAGGGGGTACTGAAACCTGCCCCACCCCGCCTTATGTATACATATCTATATCCAAGTGATATCATATATACTGATATTTTCAAGGTTGCAGTGTTATGGGTTGGGTCAGTACAGGTTCATCTAAACCCAAATTGGCCCAAAACCCGATTAAGACTGACACGACCCTAGCCCGATAGTGTTGGGTCAGTGCAGGTTTACCTCCTAACCCAATCCACTGACATCCCTAAGCACCAGTAAGAATAGTAGAATAGGAGATTTTTAGAGCTTGGGCATAATGCTAGCTATTCAAGTTGATGATACTAAATTGGTCTTATTTGGAGAGTGCTCCACCATGGGGAAAGCTGGAGGAAAGTGTGGCAAGGTGCCAATTAGCTGGTTGGTAAGGTCTTCTGCTGGTCATCGTGGAGATTTGGGATCGAATCCCGCCTACACCTGGGTTGCGGGGGTTACGGGTTGAGGGATGGGCTACCCCGTTGGAACCAGTTTTAGGGTATAAAGAAAGTCATTAGCTAGGATCGATCTTTCTCCTCAGGTCATTTTGAAAGTGAGGTATCTCTAATTATTCATTTAGGTAATAATTTTTCTTTTTCTTTCTTAACTTTTTTAATATTGCATATTATACATTAGAGAGGGAATCAGGGGTGGGGCAGAGACACTAGGGATTTTCTACTCACTTTTCCTACCCACTCTTTACCCGCCATGAATTGGAGCCACACATCTCTTTTATGAATTGAGAGATGTGTGGCTGTAATTCATGGTGAGTAGAGAGTGGGTAGAAAAAGTGAGTAGGAAGTCTAGAGAAGGGTGCATGTGAGGCTCAATGGTCATACCAGGGAGAGTTTATAGTTTTGCGTGTTTAATTTTACGCATCCTATTTAGAGGGGTGCCAAGTGACCATCTTGACTATTGGGTCATCAGAATTTAGGTAGTAATTAGTGAAAAGAATCCATCCATTGAGAAGTAGGGAGTAATTCTGTAGTGGAATGGTAACTCTCATTTAATTTTTCATGTATAGGGGTGATTCTAGAAGATGAGGGAGACAACTTCTCCTAGTAAGTGGGTTCTCAAAGTGATTTGTGGTATGATAGTGATATGTTGACGCCAATTAGGGGTGCAACTTGAGCGGGCTTGGTTGGGCTTTTGTCAAAATTTGAATAGGCCTAGATCAAAAGCCCAAGTATGAAGCAGTGTAAAATGTTAATTTGGGCGAATTTGCTAGTACCAGTTAATGCAAATACCTGCACATTTATTCGGAGAGTTTTACAAAATGCAATTTTTGGAAAAATCAGTAATTTCCCAAATGCTTCAAAAAAGCAATTTTGAGGAATCAATTCCACTTACCAAACACTTTGATGTCATCCTCAATGCAAACCAATTTTCGTTTTGGGGGTGGTATTCCCAAGAATCTCGGTCCTACAACATGGTATTGGTTTCACTGATTTTGGGAAACAAAATTAAAGACAGTCACACACATTACATCAATAGAATGCATGCCAGTACAATGGAGTCGTATGATATGGTCCACACATGACATGCATCAACAAAAATGGATGCTTAGATATCTACATTTTTCAATCTTTAGAGGAACCATCACTGGAAAGTGATGGCTAAAATTAAAAGCACAACATAAAGTTAGGGTTTGACTATGATATCAGAAAAAATTATAACCATTCAACCTGTAACATAAAAGTTATAACCAATCAGGTGGTATATATCAAAATTTACAAGGGTTTTGATTGGTCAAAACATTAAATGGTAATCCTCTATTAATTTTTGAATCTATAATTTCTGATTATAGCTACAACTCTTTTATTATTAGAATGGGATCTTACCCTTGCCAATTTAGAAGAAAAAAAATAAATCTTATTTTTAAGTTATGGGGAAATCCACCAAATCATTGCCAATTTTTTCAAGTTTAATTTAATCACTCACATTATGGGAAAATCCAAAAGAATACTTTTGAATAGAAGCACCTTAATTTAGCTATGACTCAGAGTTAATTCAATGGGGAAATAGAAAGTTGGTCAAGATCATTTTTTATCAATAACAGGAATCCATTAGATTAATAAAAAAATTTAGTTATAACACTCTAAAGAGAGATAAAAAGGCTTAACTCTCTCCAAGAGGACAACAAAGAAAAAACTTACAAGACAACCCAAAACATGTGACCCCTTCTCGCCCCTGCTTTCCCAAAGAATTTGCAGATGCATTTGTTGTTTTCTTAACCCACTAAAATTGGATTTCCAACCCCCTAGTTAGCCATTTAATTTCCCTCCTCTCATTAGCAAATTTCCAAAGTCCACTTTTCTTCTATGACCAACTTGACACTAGCTTTGAGTCCCCTTCAACAACTATTTTTTGTATATTCAGTTCCTTAATCTTCCTTATACCCATCAGTACAACATAGATCTCAGTTTTAAGAGAGTCCCCAACCCCAATGGGACTTGAATACATTGCAAGTACCTTCTCATCCTCATCTCTAAAGACCCCTTCTACACTTGATGGACCTAGATTTCCCTCACTACTGCCATCAAATTTTAACTTTATAAAGCCACAGGCTGGTGGTGACCATATAGGACCAACAAAAGAGCAAGTAGAACAAAATTAGCCACTTCCATCCAGTTATTCAACAACATATCCGTAGAAACATCATCAAACATATCCAAGGATTTTAGCCAATGCATTACCCTAACTATTATTACCTTAATAAGACCTTCTTTACTTTTTTCATTTTCAGAAAAAGATCTAGCATTCTTTTTCTCATAGAGTCCAGCAAATAGCAGCCTTCACACACCTCCACATAATCCTTACCCTTTTCTTTGGCCATCGAAGGAATGAAGAGCTAAACAAGCTTTGAATATTTGGTGGTGGGGCCCAATTGCAACCAAATAAGGAAAGAAATCAATCTCAAATAACAACAACAACAACAAATGAGTAAAAAATTAATAAATGGTAAGAACTTTCATCATTAGCCTTGCAAAGAATGCACCAATTTGGAGACAAACACCAAAAAGGCCTTTTTCTTTAGAGTAAGTCATAAGTATTACACCTTTCCAAGAAGGCTTCCCAACAAAAGGCTCCAATCCTTGGAGGAATCAGCTCACCCCAAACATCCTTTATTGGAAAATTTTGTGCAAAACTACTAGTTGAAGACAAGAGGGACTTAAAGAAGAAAGCACAAGAAAAGGTCCCAAAGGGAGATAGGGTCTATAGTCTCTTATCCCTCTCAAAGGGATCCAACACCATCTTAACCAAATTCATGACATTTTCAACCTTACATCCCTTAAGTCTCTTCTAAACCCTAGATCCCTATCAAATTCAAAGTTAGACTGAAAAGGAACCAAAAACTAGACACAACCTTGTGTTTATACCAGGAGAGGGAAAACAAGGAAATTGATCTTTCAAAGGTACCTCACCCACCAAAATGTGCTCTCAGAATTTTACCTGATTCCCAAAGAAAAGGTCATACCTGACGTGTTGCAAAAAATAAGGAAGAATGGCATGTATAGATTTCTAGAGAGGCTCCAATAGACTTTGCCAAAGTCCTAGTGTCCCAACATCATCTGCCTAACCATGAACACTCAGAATTACCCTATTCCACAACTTATCCCTCTTACCTTCCAACCTCCACATCCATTTCCCCAACAGAGCTTCATTTTTCTTTTGAATGTTACTTAATCCTAACCCTCGATCAGCCCTACTTTTAGAGACCATTTCCTAGTTCACTTTGTAATCCTTCATCTCCTCCCTTGGTTCCCATAAGAAGTCCCTCATCATCTTTTCCAAAACCTTATTTATCTTCACTAGGATCCTAAAAATTGATAAGTAATATGTAGGCAAACTAGCCAACGTAGACTTAATCAAGGTAATTCTGCCACCCAGAGATTAGTAATTCTTCTTCAAAGAGGCTAACTTCTTATGAAACTTATCAATTACAGGGCTCAAAAAACTCTCTTTCCTTGAGCTATCCCTTAGAGGTATCCCCAAATAATTCAAAGGCCATTGAAACACCACACAACCCAAAGCTTCTACCCTCTCCATTATATCTCTCTCCTCCATATTGATCCCCACCACACAACTCTTATCGAAATTGACCTTCAGATTTGACCTTTGTTCAAACACTTAAACCACTAACTTCAAATTTCTGGCCCATCTCGCATCCTCCCCCTCACAGAAAAAAAAAAATGTATCATTAACAAACTATAAGTGGGTGATAGGAATATTGTCTTTTCCAACCCTCCACCCTCTCATAAGACTTCTCGAATCTGCTCTCTCAATTAGCCTCCCCCTTGTCTAATTCCCCTAATATCCAGAAAGTGTTCCACTACAACTCCATTATCACGATGGAATAATGACAAATCTCAATACAATGTA